ACAGAATCACGGGTGAAACGTCATCCTGAAAAGGACACGATCTTCACCCGTTTTGCTCTTTTCACTGAAAATGCTTTCTCATTGTGCTGGAGCATACAGAAATAAATGCGCCAACACAGCGGGGAAACTGCAAGGCCGCTGCGTGCACTCAACCGAATACCACCTGTGACAACAGCTCTTTGAAAAAAAGGCAGATTCCGTGAAGCAACAGCTGGTTACCCGAAGATCGCTGAAGCACCGTCACACCAACACAGAGAGGTCTCGGAGAAAACAGCAGACTTGTTGAGCCTGAAGATAATATACCAATCTTGAAGCTCATCCACTCAGCGGAACACAACCGGTCGGCTCTGAAGCAAAAACATATGTGTGTGCACTTTATACCCACACTGGCAGGCGGGGTGCGGAATGAAAGTCCTGCATGCCAATGTTCTTTGGCTCTTTGTAATTCACTCTAAGGCAATTGGTCTCCGTAGCATGATCCCAATTTGTTGGAAACTCCTCAGACGAGACATAGGATTTGATTTGTTTTGTTGATTTGTTTTGGTTACAGACATTATGACAGAATTTAAATTTTTGGGTGAACTATGCCTTTAAGCTCATGTACGTATTGTATTTTTTTTTTTTAATTTTTGAAATGAAATGTGGATAGATATAGTATACACATTTCAAACTGATGGAAATTTTTTAACATTTTTGAAAAATACTAGTATATAATCAATATTCATTTCTATCAGCATCAATAATGATTTAATTATCATTATTATCATGGGTTTTATTTTGTTTTGTTTTTTTGCATGTTGCTTTTGTTGAAAACATTTTCATCTGTGATTTTAGTAAAGATGAGATTGCAACCATTTGGAAGCACATGAACTGGCCACTGTGCTGTCTGTTGATATAATATAACCAGCAGAATGGAGTTTGCTGAGGGCCTTTTTTACATTGAGCGGGGTTGTCTTGAGGCAAAGAGGATGTGACAGGGTGCATTAACTTGATCTGTCTCTGTTCTGAAGGATTAAATGGCTATCCTTATACATTAGCCTTGAGCTAAATGGCCATCAACCCGCTCACATATTGTTCAGTCCTCACTGTCAATGTTACACACGCACATGGACTCTACGCCCGGTAACAGTTCATGGTTTGTTTCTCGACGAATTAAAAAAGAAACAGCTTTCCACACTGTAAATCGAACGTGCCGTGCGAGCAGTAAGACCTTCTCAGATGCTGAGGGGGGCGACCACATCGATCCCTTTCCCTCCGCTCAGCGAAAACAGGGAGACACAAATCTAAATTGAAGTCCAGGGTGATTTACAAAAGGGGAAAAGAAAATGAATCACTGCACATGTCAGGGCGAACACAGAGATATAATTCAATTACCTACGTGTGGAATGACATTTGATTTAATCTGAACTATTAATGCCAGTGAGGTCAAGCCAAAAGAAAGGGCACTTGTCTAGTTAGTCGCAATTAGAGTGTAAATCTCAAATGTCTCTAAGGCGGGGGAAAATGTCATTTGCAGAATAACTGGCTAATAACGTGGTTCCCCTCACCTTTGAGTAACCAGGCGGCGCTGGGTGAATCTAAATCATGCAAGACTAACAGTAGGGTCGTTCGAGAAATTTGTCCGCCTTTTGTCATGGTTGGATAAGAATTAGTGGGAGCACTCGATGAGTCGGTGCAGAGCGCCGAGCACCCACTAATCCTTGTGAACAAACACTGGGAATTAGGAATTTTGGCAAGGGCTTAGGGAGATGCTATATACACATTGTCATGTTGTTCCCTTTTCACCTAATCATCCGTGTCATTTGAGGCGTCTTAAAGAGGCAGATCGCTTATAACATCTCAGGTTATATTAAGATTTTGTTGTGGATGATGCGCTGCAGCTAAATTACATCACCATATCAACCTAAAAAATCCCAGAGGATGTTTGGATAAGTATGCATTATGTATGCAGTTCGATTGGTTTTTGATTTTGCAGCCGCATGCTCCGCAAAACAGGACACACATTAGACAGCTTTTACGCATCAGATTCCATAAGGCAAGCTTGTACTGCCACTTCAAATGGGCCCCATGCATGTTATTGACTTCTATTTTAAGTAACTGCCCACTGGGTGGTGCAGAGAATGAAATGAGGAGAAGTTTGAAGTTGTCCGTCTCCTACAGTGCTGACAGCGCGGGTGTGACTGATATTGTGAATTTAGTTGTCTCTCCAGAAAAAAAATAAACTCTTCTCCCCTGCACACTCAACATACCTCTAAATGTCAGATCTGTCACATGTTATAGCAGTTTTCTGCACCAGGGTGAAATACATTGCAAATTGTGACAACTTCTTTCAGGTGTTTTTTGTTGTTGTTGTTGTTGTTTTGTTTTTTGAAAATGTAAAAATGCAGATAGTTTTCTGTGATGGGTAGGTTTAGGAGTAGGGGTAGTATAAAAATAATTATGTCTATGGAAAGTCACCATAAAACATCTACACACAACAAGTGTCCAGTTCACACAGCAACTAACAGTAGCGTCTCAAATACTGTCTGTATGAATGTGCCACAAGAGTCAAGCCTGTATTCTCTTAAAGGGTTAGTTCACCCAAAAATGAAAATTCTGTCAGTATTTACTCACCCTCATGTTGTTCCAACCCCGTTAGACCTTCGTTCATCTTCGGAAAACAGAAATTAAGATATTTTCGATTAAATCTGAGAGCTGGATCACTCCTGCATACTAGTCCATAGGCTTCTTGAGGACTTGAAACTTGCCGGCCTCGAAAAGTTATTAAAGACATTGTTAAAATAGTCCAAGTGACTTCAGTGGCTCAATCTTAACTTTATCAAGCGTCGAGAATACTTTTTGTGCCCCAAAACAAACAAAAATAACGACTTTATTTCAACTATTCACTTCCTTCTCTATGGGCCGCTAGTCAGTTAACGTAGTGTGATAGCGTAGAGCTACGTCACACAAAGGCTCACTATTGGCCAGCTCTCAGATTTAAACAAAAATATATTAATTTGTGTTCCGAAGATGAACGAAGGTCTTACGGGGTTGGAACAACATGAGGGTGAGTAAATACTGACAGAATTTTCATTTTTGGGTGAACTAACCCTTTAACAGTAACCAGTGACAGTGACCAAAGTATTACCAAAGATGGTGATGTCTATAAAACTAAAGGCTTATCACATTTGACTAGACAAGTGTCCAATTAACCACAGAGTTAATCTTTTAAGACAGAAGCTTCATTGTAACAAGTGCTAGCCGGACGCCTTTAACCGCATTCTTGTCTCACGTCCTGTGTAGCATCTCGATCATAACACGGTATTCGAGTCATCAGGTCATATGTCCGTCGCTGTGAGTTTCTGGAAGCAAAACCGCACACAAAATCCATTAGCATAGCGGCTCTCTCACACTGTCTGATATGACAGACAACTAGTTCCACTGCGGTTCCGTTCACACAGCGCAGGGTTTTCGAGAATGCGGTTGTGAGTTCCGAACATTTACGGGTCGGTTATAGAAAACGGTTGTCACTCCTGTAAATAACCATACTGTTTGTAAACATAACTGTATTAAAGGTTTACTGTATATTTTAGTTCACCCAAAAAAAAAAAATTGTCATTAAAGTCCCCGTGAAATCAAAATTGAACCTATTTACTTTGTTAGCGCATATTACTAGTCTTGTGGTGAACAATTAATCCGTGCAAGTAAAAATATATTTAAAAAATGTTTTACCATGGTAATCTTTAATCAAAATCTGAAAAGTTACTTTCGGTCTGGAACGGTTTATTTTTCTGATGACGTAGGTTTCACAACTTGGGTGGGGAAACGCTTAACCACTCCCCTCAAACCGTTAGTTTGCTATGAGCGAGAGATGGAGAGGAGGAGCGCTAGAGTAAAACCCTGCCCTCTGTTCAATATTCCGTTTCACATGGAAATACGTCACAGCACTGGAGAAAAATCGTTTGCAACTTCCGGTTCACGGGACTTTAATTACTCACCCTCATGTCATTCAGTCACCTACCCTGTTCACATTATATTATAAACAGAGTGCACAACTTCCAGGTTCTCTGGTTCACTGACTCATGATTGGCTCGCATATGCGTTGTGGTGCTCACGTGTGAACAGCATCGTCCAATAATGAGCCGGCATTCCTGTGTTTACTACTAACTAACACTTTAAGGACTCAAATACAGGACTGACAACTGTATTGTGTTGCTTTGTGAATGTTGTGGCCTAACTGTGATTCATTCCTTTTTAACCGAATACTGACGTTTCCTTGTGAAATACTAGTCTTTTTTTTTTTTGCATGTAATTTTCTTTGTAAAGCATTTGAGACGGTGTCATTTTTCATATCTCCTCAATCTGATATCCTACTTGGATATTACTTAAAATAATACATGACCACAATCCCTAATATATGGAAGATATAAATTCCCTCAAAAATGGTAGATTCCCTCAACGTGAATAACAATGGTTCCACTTCACTGCAAATCTCTAGTATCTTTTCTTTGATGTTCCTCTCTGTAAATCTCATCATTAGGCATTGATTCATGCCATGAATCATAGTGACAAATACGCAGCCACATCCACCCTCTCTTAAGACTGGGAGGCGTTTTGACAGTGCATACAAAGGGAGAGATGGAGGTCATTCTCACTCATCCTGAACACAGCACAATACTCGCTGATGCGTTCACAATCTATTCCAGAAATAAAGCAACAAGACGAACTGAAAGCCACTGTTATGTGCCCCCTGTGAGGGCAAGTAGCAAAGCTGTCAGTCAGTGAGGCGGTTCGAGATTCAGCCTTATGGTTTTCACAGGGCTGAAAGGGGGCTTTATAGACAGCATTGGGTAAGAAGAGCTCCAGGAAATTGCTCTGTGAAAAGCGATAGTACAATGACGCCTGGCACTTATGAAATCAATGCACATGCAGTACAAAATTTATGTAAATATGATTTAAATCAATTACAGTAGTACAGACCCCATAGCTTTCACGCATACTGATTTACCCATGGGCTTGCATAGTTTGTTTATTGTTTAATTGTTGTTGCTTAATGACAAAAGACATATTCATAGTCATAATTCAAAGGTACGGATAGTGTACAAGGAATGTTTCAAAATACATCTATGAGCTCTTATGTGTCTTATTATCAAGTATGATAGTCTCTAATCGTAAACATGAATAAATATGATCTTATTTGTGTTAATGAAGTGTGAAGCATGAGTGTACTAATGATTTGAAAAAAAAAATAATATAAATAATACATTGTTTACAATGACAATTCAAGTAGTCATTTAGCTGAATAAAGTAGGAGATAATAGATTGCAATCCTTCACTGCATAGTTAATGTCATTTTATTTTTTATTCACCATGTATTATGTATGCAGAAACAGATGGGAGTTGTTTAAAATGTTAGATTAAATAAATAGTTTATCCAAAAATGATTATAAATAAATCATTATTCACTCACCCTCAGAAGCAATCACATTTGATGAGATGCATTGAAAAGTGTCAAATTTCATTTAAAAGCTACAGTGAATAATGACTTAAAACTGCAAATATAAAAAAATAAATAACTGCAAATAGGTTTTGAAATAAAATAATACTAGCATTTTCTTTTTTTTCTTGGGTGAAATATCTCTTCAAAAGCACCAATCGTAAGTCAAGGCCTGCTATCAAACTCATTTTCATCGGTATAAATGGAGGTTAAAGACTTCATTCTCAATGCATTCATGTTCATCAGTTTAAGCACTAGTATGTTAAGCACTACATTGTGCAGGTCATAAAGGAAATGGGCAGGACTGGGCTTCAGTAATGATTAGAGTTGTTTAGTCCATCTGTTCTGAACCCCTCTGGGTGGCTGTTGATTGTAGGGTGAACAAGACTATTGAAGAAAATGTGATGAAATAAGCCCATGACTGACGGCTTGATTGACTGTAATCAGTCCCAGGTTGAGCCTTCCACCTCCTGTTGTCGTCGCCTCATGATCTCCTGCAGCTCTGTATCCCCACGACCCCTCTGAGAGAAAGAAAGACTTTCAAGCTCCATTTTCCACTGCATTTGAACGTTTAATGTGCACAAATTCAGATTAACATAAGTGATATTGCTCTGTGACAGACCTCTAATTGAGCTTTCTGCACACTGAGCTGACTGAAGACACGGGAACCCTCGTCCCCGCACACGGCTTTCAGCTCATCCTTACTGAGAGAAAATAGTTGAGCCCCGTTCAGAATACCCAGACATTCCACCACCCTGGAATGTGGAGAGAATATTACATCATATTCATCATGTTTTTTAAAGGAGTCATATCACGAGGAGTCTAATTTTATTTGATCTTTTGAGATAAATTGCTACGTATGCTATGAAAATATACTTGGGCAAATTACTAAACAGTTGCACAACCAATTTGTTACAGTTTCCCAGCACTAAATGAGCTCAAGTAGTGGCTTGAATATTGAAATTAAGTCACTGTGTTTCTTATCAGCACAAACATGCCTTTTTTATGTAAATTAGACTCATTAATGACTGCACTTTATTCAATGACCGTTTGCCAGTCATAGTTTACGTTAAAGCCGTGGTAGAAGTACATTTTTATTTAAAATAGATGCTTGCCAGATTTTAGTATGACCCCCCCCCCCCCCCTATAACATTCTCAATAAGATTTGATTTGTATAATATTTAATAAAATTTGTCTACATATTATTATGTGTATTCACAGTATATCTTTATCATAGTCCCCCTGGAGCAACTTGAGGCTTAAGTACCTTACTCAAGGTTACATGTTCATCACTTGCGGGGTCTGAATTTGCATCCTCAGTTAACAGGCCATATGTTTAACAACTAGGTTTCAAAGGCATTAAATCATCTGAAGTGTCACATGTCGCAGCTCACGTGTCACTCACGGTCTGGAGAATCCCTTTGCGTTGAGCCAAGCATTGACCTCAAAGGGCTGGGATTCATACATGATGGGCATGGATGAACTTGAGCGCTCCACCCGAAAGTTTCGAGCTGGTGGCTGGGCCTTGTTGTCAGTTATCCTCTTCAGCAGTTCATCATTTACCTCCTTCTGTTGGTTGCGGTCTAGAGATAGGCAGAAGAAGTGATAGATAGAGAAACAAGCACTGGGACAGAGACACCGTGAATAAGATTGTCCTAGACAGGAGCAATAAGCTCTGGTGGGAACCTGCAATCTATGTACATAAGACTACTCTCACACCAAATTCATTTCCCACTTCTCTGCATTTGTTTAGGTTTTTTTTTTTTTTTTTTTTTGGCAGGCTCTGCCCACTCTCCATCTCACAGCGAATACAGCAAGCAGATAAGAGGTACGTACTATCTTTATCCCGGGAGGATTTATTCATCTCCAAAACCTCTGCGTGATTTACAGGGCCAGCAGAGGTACCTTTGTAAGGATTCACAGCCTGAGATGGGGAAAACAGAGGGGCAGAAAAAGAAAGAGTCAATCCCTGGCATGTAAAGTAGGAGAATATATGTGTGCACTTTCCATGTATAAGGTACAAAAAAAGTACCTTATTTTTCAATTTTTCAAGGGAGTGCTTAACCTTCAGGAAATGGTCTGATTTATTATATTAGCCTATTTCTTTTTATTATCTATGACGTGTGCAATTTTTTTCAACCCTGTTAACACGTTTTATGACTTGTCTAAATACAGTTTCAACCTTCCATGTAATATTCTTAACATGAACATAAAAATTAAATACATTTGTTAAATAAAAATGTTATGAAATATAATAACAAAAAAACGGGGACAAGCGAAATTCACCTGATGTCAGTTCGTCTAGTATTAACACTTCACAATACAGTTTCTGTTGTTAGCATTAGTTAATTACATTAGTTAACACGAACAATACCTTTACAGCATTAAATTATCTTAGTTAATCTTCCCTTTCAAGGAAAGTCGCGCTGCATCGATTGAACATAAGGGAACTCTTCATGTGATGATGTATAGAGAGCTTCCGGTCGACCACCATGGGACCTTATTTCGGAAAAATATTGAATGGTAGTCAATGGCGAGAGACAACAAATATTTTGATCTCGTTTGAATTGTGCCCTGAATTACACATATGATGTTTGTCAATTTAAAAGATACATTTTAAAGTAAAGAAAGTCGCAGTTTGATGAAAAACCGTTGAGGTATAAGACTGTGAAAATACGTAATTACAAAGACTACAAACCCCAAAGGCGCACATTTTCTCTCAATGAATGAAGCTAACTTTACTGAGGCTGTCTGTCATTGTTTCTACAGTCTTACGTTATAATCGTAACGTTATGCCGTCCTACCTGAGTGTTTTGTACCAGACTGCACACACACGAGCAGCGGATCTCGTTTCGCTTCCCGGGAGATGTAGTTCACAGAGCGATTTTCACATAAAACTAAATGTTACTCTTCTGTTTTATGACAAACTGTGACGTTTTTGACTTTCAGAATTATCTTTTAAATTGACAAACAGCATATGTGTAATTGAGGGCACAGTTCAGACGGAATAAAAAGATAAGTTGTCTCTCGCCATTGACTACCATTCATATTTTTTCCGAAATAAGGTCCCATGAGTCGGAAGCGGAGGGGCGGGACTTAGGCTCTCTATTGAAGCACATGTAAAATCAGTCCAATGGTGGAACATCAGAGGCGGGTGACACGAAATCAGGAAACTATAAAGCCTGCCCAAAACAGAGCCACGCTAGCTTCAGTGTCTTCAGTAGTGCTCATTGTGAAGCTGTCCTTTGTCATATTTGGTGTTGTTTTGTCTTTATATCTGATATAAAGTATACAAAAGTCATAGCGAGCAAGCAGCAGTTCATGATGTGTGTGCACCCCTGCCCATGTTTTTAACGGGTGGGGACACACACATTGTTTGTGTAGCTTGTTTTGGTGATAAGCATGCACAGTCAGCACTGTGATGTGCTTCCAATGCGGACACTCTGATACCGCCTGGCGTTCTTTAGCGAGGACGCTCAGGCTTGAGCTCCCTATGGCTCTGGTCCCACTGCTGCCAAGGCACAGTGGCGATCACAGATATGGGGTTTGCAAATGGATCTATCCGCGGGGTTAGAGACGGGCAAAGGCTTATCTCTGCCTTCACCTGATAGATCCAGTGCCTTCTCTCAGGGTTTGGAAGCACTTGCTGCGGTTCCTTTAGCCCCGATTGAGGCACAGACACTGCAGCTATCTAGTTCTGAGGAACTGGAAGTTGTCAGTTTCGATGCAAGAGATTCTGACGATTTGCCACCTCAGTCTCATGTTTTTGAAGAGCTTGTTTAGGTTTTGACAAGAGCGGTTAAAAGACTGAGTATTGACTGGCCAGCAGATAAACAGGACGTTCGTTTCAAAAGGACGCAAGCTTCCTACCTTCACGGTCACGACCTCAACGCCGGGGCCTACCGTTTTCCCCCGATCTCCACACCAAGGTGTCGAGATCGTGGGAGAAACTGGATTCATATAGAGTGTACAGTATAGTAAACAAACATCCAATTATTCTTCTATATCTAACTATAAATAGCACATTTATGGGGAGATGCCAAAAGTGGAAGAGGCGCTTGCAAGATATCTATCCCCCAAAGCGGCATCTTCCCTAAAAGCCCCGGCATTACCCACTAAGCCAGTCAGAAACACATCATCACTAGTGGGTAAAGCTAATTCACCCACTGGTCAGGCTGCAGCAGGCTTTCACACAATGTAGCTGCTGCAGGCCCACCGAGCTGAATTTTTTGCAGACATGGATGAAGCCGGGGGAATTGGCCCTCAGATTTATCTTAGCGAGCACATATCTCAAGGACCACCCGGAAACGTAGTGGCCTTGGGATGCACGACCCCTCCGAGGAGAGCTCCAAAGCAGTCATTTTGGTTGTTCCCTGCCGGTTCGCCGTTGCAGGGCGTCAGGCTGATTGCACAACACAAACCAGAAGCCAGTCTTGAGAGGCTGGTACCGCTAGTAGAATTTTAGCAGTAATGGAACAAGTGGAAACCCTGTTGGAGAAAGTGGCCATAGTATATGTACCTCCATCCAACAGGGAAACAGGTTCTACAGCCGGTATTTCATAGTTCCAAAGAAGGATGGGGGCTTGCGTCCCATTTTAGATCTTCGAGTGCTAAACAAGTCTGTCATGCAACTAAAGTTCAAAATGTTAACACTAAGACAAATCGTGCCACAGATCAGATCCGAGTTTGTCACAATAATTCTCAAGAATGTGTACTTCCATCAGTGTTGTAGTACTCGAGACTCGGACTTGTCTCGGACTCGGTCTCGAGACCATATTTTAATGGTCTTGGTCTTGTCATGGACTCGTGTGCATTTGGACTCGTAATTGACTCGTACTCGAACATTTTTTTTTAAGACTTAGACTTATTCTCGAGTCCACTCGAGTTCAATTCAAAATATTTTTCATGATTATTAATGTATGTTAATAAAACATTTCTTTAAATTGATTGACACGCCCAGTGATTGGTGATTTTCTAGTGCGCAACTGTGCATAACAAATTGCAATAAAATTACTTTTAACACCACCTACTATGTGGCCTTTTTACCCTAAACTGATCATATTTTTTAAACTCTAAGTAAATTCAGAAAGAAAAAAAAAAGGATTTCTCTAAGTAAATAAAAGTAAATTAGGTAACCAACCCTCACTGGTCTCGGTCTCGACTCGGACTCGACCGTCTCTGGTCTCGGACTCGACTCTCTATGGACTCGGTCTTGACTCGGACTCGACTCTCTCTGGTCTCGAGTGAGATGGTCTCGACTACAACACTGACTTCCATATCGATTCCATACCATCCTTCCATATCGATGCTCTGGCACTGGCACTCTGCGCCTGCAGGCTATTTGCATCGTGAACTACATCAACGATTTGTTGATTCTGGCTCAGTCGCATCAGTTGATGGTTCGGCATTGAGATGTCGTTCTCGCCCACATAACCACATAAAAGAGTTGGAGCTACGGCTAAATGCTATAAAGGCTTTCTCCACTAGAGGACCACTTTTCTAGGCGTGGTGTGGAACTCAACGGTGGCTAACTTACTCCTCCAGTGGCTCGAGGGGAGCCAGGGAAAGGCTTTGAAGGACAATGGCCAGATGCCTGCAGGACGAGCTGCAGGCCTCAGGCTTTATAGTTTCCTGGTTCATGACGTCACCCACCTGTCCATACCTTAGACATACTGACAGTCTGTTCAGAATCGATTGGTTCACGGAAATTGGTGATCTTGTTTTTAAAATGTGGCTCCAGAATCGCAAGCAAAGCATCAAACTGTTCCACTGACATTCTGAGGTAAATTTTGAATCGCTCGGGATAAATTCGAAACTCCTTGATAAGGAGGTGCTTCCTCTCGGCGCAATTTCAGGATTGGATGGACGTAATATTTTCTTTTTCTTCTCTTTTAAGAGAGAGGACAACAAAATCATCCTCACTGCTTGACGAATCCATTTTGAATTTTTGCGTTTTTTTCCCGCAAAGGTTTAATAAATACGCATCGGACTCAGTGTGCAAGGTTTCTGTGCGTGACTAATTTTTAGGCTGACGAACACGGAAAAACGCATACAAAATTTCGTACTCAGTGTACAATGGCCTTTACTGTTTTCACAACAAAAAAAATGGCATTTGGTCCTCTAATGCTTAAACAAAAGTCACTAGAGGACACTAAAGTGTGACATATTCATGAAATCTGCCTTGTAGAGTTATAAAATTCTATATTATTTTTATTATTATATAATTACAAATTATAAACGAGAATGTCGGGTGAATATTTTGACAGTGAAGTAGCTAAGACTGCAAGCTAACCTGGCTGTTGAAGAGAGCAGCACGGTTGTACTGTGGCTCTCCTGGTTTGACCTCTTCTAGTACATTACACGGCACGTAGCCTGACTGACCGCTGCGGTTCCTCAGCAGCCACCACTGTTTATTGTTCTCCAAGGCCTAGAAAAACATGAGAGTCTAGTATTAGTAAATGCATGACTGTGTATGGATCAATATTTTTTTTTCTGTGACAAATCTATTTTTGAGACTGTTCCTCGTTCATTCAACATGTTGTCTAATTTTGGCTAAAAGGTTGTGTCATACTCTGTCTCATGATGTATCCTACCAATGGGATCCTAGAATTAAATCCCAGTGATACCAGGCTCAGGCCGGGCATGTCTAGAAACACGATTATCCGTGTTTCCAGATGGATTAGCCAATCGGGGGTAATCCCTCTTGATCACTTCAGTAGTTCTCATGTAAATAGAGTTCCTCAGGGTTGGATGCTGTTCTGAGGCAAACTGCAGACATCTGAAAGTGACAGGTTGAAAGGACGCCTTCCTACATGTTGGATTCGTTGTGGGTATTTTACATTTGCAAGGGTTTACTTGTGTTCCTATAATGTGTAGTTGCATAATAGGGCTGGGTAATAAATATCGATTTCTCCATATTAATCGATTCTCATTTTTACGAACCGATATCGATTCTTAAATCTCAAGAATCGATTAGTCATCCTGTTTCATTTGAATGAGTGGGACACTATCGCGGCTGCGCACATCCAAAAAAATCGTAATAATCTTTGTCCTTTGTTACTATTGATATGAAACAAAGTCTCAATTTTCAAATTACGTCCATTTTCTTTAGAAATTCAAAAACATAAATAGCGTTTTGGTGCTGTGGCGTGAGATCGCTCTGGAGAAGCAGCAGCGCTGATCTCTCTTCCGGGTTAATAATACCAGTTACAGCGCGAAATAAACATGAATGAGCATCTGAAAGTGTGTTAAAGATAGAGTACAACTTATCGAAATCCGTATCATGTCACATTGAATCGCTCAATCAGTGTTTCAACCGTGGAAAGACGTCAGTTAAACAGCTTGTAATCAATGTCATGCATCGTCATATTTACCTCAGGAAACCCACATAAACTCGTTAGTCAGCTAGAATAAAAACTCCAGAGAGAAGCATTTTGCTAAATATATACACCATATTACATATAATGTTCTTCAATATTTAATGCATATTTGAATAAATCTGGCAAGTTTTTATGACAGCCACCATTTAAATGTTTATATTTCATATAATCTTCTTATTATAAAAATAAATAATAAGTCTAATAATAAGTCTATAGGCTACAATTAGACTCCCATAGTTTGCAACATTAGTTAAGAGATTTGATTCCCTTGAGAAAAATGGCCATTTATTGTAACTGATATCCAAAATAATCGATATTGAATCAAATCGAATCGTAATCGAATCGAATTGCAAGCTTGTGAATCGAAATCGAATCGAATTGTGAAATTCGTCTCAATACCCAGCCCTATTGCATAAGGTCTCATTTTATGCATTATAAAGTAGGCAAAACTAGATTCATGTATCTTTGGGCTCTATCATACACCTGGCACAATGCAGCGCCAAACGCAGCACAATTGTTTTTTTGCTAGTTTCAGCCTGACGCAGTTATCATTTTCACGTCCTGCAACACAAATCCGCCATGATGCGAGCTCAACTGGCTTTTAAAGGGAATAGGAAATTACACTCTGATTTTACACCCATAACACACCTATTACTTTTTAAGAGAATAGGGACAACCCATGTGCCTCACGCCGACCATTTTCCGCATCGTTAAAATAGCAAAATTGGATTTCGACACACCCTTGCACCCTTTCGACAAGTGCACTTGCGCCATGCATTTTAGACCATGCGTTTAGATCGTTAAAATAGGGACCTATTAAATTCAGTTTTCCTTAAGTTTCCCAGAAACTTTTAATGTTTTTTTTATCATTTATGTTCAAACACTAGCCTACAGAATCTTCTAGATGTTGTGCTCTGCATGAGCTGTAGTCTTGTTTTTTCTCCTTTATCCTCCCACGCTGTACCTCAGACCTATTCTGCCCTGTTCCCCATCCTCCTCCACCTCCTCACAGAGGGTCATCCATACCTCCAGCACCTCGCCCTGCTGCACGGAGAGCTCGTTGGCATTGCGTGCCACAAAGTGATAACGGATCCTGACATGTTGTAGATCGCTGTTAGACCTGTGCGGCAGAAATAGCATGGATGTTCATTGGGTGAAGCTACAGCTGACTGCAGTTAGTTAACACTTGGCAGTATTTTTAGAAGTTAAATTTTGTACTTTAGCCTTAGATGTGTTAATGTGGTCTTTGCACCTCCTCATTTTGCTTTTGTAGTTGTTGTAGATTACTTAAACGTCAACATGAAGCCCGGTTTGCAAACCATTCTACTTCCGACTGTAATATGGAGTGTTCAAAGTGAAACTAGCATTCAATGTGAAAAAAGTATGAATTTTATCCATCTGCAATTGATTGGATAAAAAGTAGGTGTTTTATACCAGAGTTATACCTTTTTCTATTTAGTATAAGTAATATTGTACCTACATGTCAACTAACTCTTAATATTGAAGTAGGGTTAGGGTTAGTAGAATATAGGAATGTCTAAAGGGAACTATCACAATAAAGTCTTTTTAGGAAAAGCAGACAACATACTAATACTCTACTAATACTCTATTGAGAGTAAGTTGACATGTAGGTGCAATGTTACTTAAAGTCAACCTAATGTCTAAAGGAGACCATCGAAATAAAGTGTTACTACATTATCTAATAGCCCGCACAACCTGTCATTGGTAACATACATGTAATACGTTAAAGGGAAGAGTTATTAACCTTACTTGGAAAAGCATGCAGCAATGAATTGTTCAAAATAAGGCGATGCAAAAAGAAAGTAAGCAAACAGGGTCGATTTGAGTTTCATGTTGACTTTCAAGGAACTCCAGCAGACCAAACAACTTTTTCTAGAGGCCAGTCCATGAACAAATAACTCATTATAACTAACAAGCCAGCATAACAAGCTACTTTGAAAATCATTGTTTTTTTTCCCCTTTAAATCAGTTAGAAATAAAGCAAACTTTTTGTTTTAATGATACGTTGAAGTAGCAAAATCCTCACAATGCATCTGGACAGATCATACTGTATGTTCTCTCAACATGGTGAATTTTACTATGAAAAGTATCATTTCTTACCTTATAAATCTACTTTATGACAAAAACAAGCTATAAAACTCTACACGATGAACACATATATGCAGAAACCGGTCTATTATAATGGACAACTTACGACTCAAGCATCCTTTTTCAGAAGAGCCTGCGGTTGCTTTGCTGCAAGCGTGCCGTGAGCCGCTGCACCTTCCGCCAAGGTGGAAAGTAACTTGACGTGCTGCAGCCTGCACATGTGGTGTAGCTCATGCATATTTCAGTGGGCCTGCACAGAGCATGGAGAACTTTAAACTGAACGTACTGGTCCCCATGCATCATTAATGTGCTGGCCTACCTCTCTCCTCCTCGCCCAGTGATAGAGCGTTGAGGATAACCGCAGTGGCCCAGTGTCCAGCCTGTGCCAAGACCTTCTTTCTTGAAGCCCATAAATAAATAAACATGCTGAACGCTGGAAACTGGCACTCCACTACACAACAGGCAGATTTGTTTTCGCCTCCAATCGCAATTTGTTTTACACGCTCTAGATAACTGACCATATATTTTAACTGTCTAATAATTGGAGCCATTCAGCATGTCACTCTTAATAAATTGCCTCAGTAAAAGTGTAATTATCAACTTTATATATTTATATACTTCTAAAACAACAGTATAATAAATTATCTTTATACAAATTAGTAAAGGTTGAAAACCATAATCCATGGTGGTTTAGATGGATAAATTACTGCCTGCATAAACCTGCATAAACAAGTTTTGTCCGTTCTTGGGAACACCAACAAATATGGCATAGAAATATACGTAAAAATATTTAGGTTCTCATGTTGTGATGTGTGACAGTATTTGTGAAGTCCTGTTGATTACCACAAAAAATTAAATAAACTTTCAGCTGTAAAGCTGTTTAAATGAACCATTTTTACACTTAAAATGTTAACCCTCATACTGTTTTTTCCATAATATGTGCCTTACTGTACCTGATTTTGCTTCTTCTTTTTTTTTTAAGAAAAGGTTGAAAATGTTGCTGCAAGGCACGTTTATTTATATAGCACATTTCTATGGTAATTCAAAGTGCTTTAATTAAAATATTCACAAAATAAAAGTAAGTAAGCATGATGGTACTCGAGGCAAGTGCTGTATTGTGAATAAGTAACGGCTGAAGGGGTTGCAGGCACTCCCCTACGCGTCGTGCCTAACAACGTCCTCAGCCGTTACTTATTCACGATACAGCACAGCCTCTTTTGCTTTTATAAAACGGTGACCACACAATAAAAATATTAAAGTAAAGAAATATGTATTAGTGCACCTTTCATGAAGTAAAATCACCAAAAGCCTTCCTTACGCTAGAAAAAAAAAATAGTCCCTGACCGTGAACAGCAACAATTACGTCAACAACAACGTTCCAATGTGTAATATACAGGAAAGCTAAAAAACAACAACAACAACATAGGAAATAAATAGAACCGTTGGGTGAAGTTTTATCATGAATAAAGCACAGCTATTGACCAATCAGAATCAAGGATTGGAACTAACCGTTTTATAAGGGAAATTAAAACATATGAAAGGAATTAAAAGAGATATAAAGATGATACTGTTATGGAAGGAATTAAAAGAGTAGTAAAGATGATACATTGGCTAGATACAGTTATAAAAGGAATTAAAAGAGTAATAAAGATGATACATAGATAAACTTTCATCTGGCAAAACACCGGTGTGTCATATTTTTCACAGCTGCTTGTTTTACTGAGATTTTCCTATGTTGGTTACTGTGTCTGTGGTGTTTTTTTCGGGTCTTCTAAGTTATCTGTAATCAAAATTATGCCACCGATGCTGTCAATTGGGCTTAACTTGTACTGAATCTGTAATATTTCTTTACATTCTACTACCTCAGTACCTTTAGAGATGGCTGTTGACTGACAGTCTACCAGAAAAGCATTATCAGTACATCAAGCATTTCTGTAGCAACATCATAGCCTGAAGAATCAGTAACCTTTTCTGAAATCCTTAGTTGTCGACCCAGTCTGTGACCTGTAATGGTATAATAACGTTGGAAGATGTTATCAGCCCATAGTCGGTCGTAGGAGGACCCTGTTTTCACCTAAAATTGGATAACACAAACATGATTACACCATGCTTAGAACATGGACTGGTGTTTCTATTGGTGACGTGTTTGGTTTATACTAGCTCAGTGTAATCCTTTGCCAAAAGCATCTACTCCCACAAATCCATGTTCATCTTGCTGTATAGCCTGAATGCCAAACATGTGAATCCATTTTCTCATTTGAAATGCATTTATATCTTTATTTACTTTTTTTTTCTGAATGTACATCTCATCTGTTTGATAGTGTGTTGTTGCTAGCAATTTGTCTCATTTTGTATGGATTTTAGCATGTGCAGTATACCTTTCTAGAGGGTTTATTTCAGATAAATAAGTGATTGGTTATATTCCAGTAAACAACATTCTTTACTTTTGCTTTTATGTCATCAAACAAATGAACAATGGTGTTTACCACCTTTGCTAAACTGTCTTTCTTGTACAACATACGCAGTTATTAAAATGGCATCTAATTAGAGGCATTGAGCAGGCGTTTTACATAAGATTAATTGCATTTTTGAGAGCACTTTTTCTTCATTATTATTCTGCCGTGCAAATGGATTCAGTGCAACTGTAATGCATATTCATTTTCAGGAAGCTTGGAAATTGTGGGAAATTAGCCAAAGGTGGATCTGGGCTGCTGTGAGGGTATAAGCAGAATGTGTAATACAGGAGCCCTGCTTCTGCTCCCTGAAGTCTAGGCCTCCTTAACTTCCATCCTGAACTATGGTGGGCTTTGCCTCAAGACAGAGCCAGTGCAGGTTGTTATTCTGGGATATTTAAAGGGGTCTTATCTTGAAAAAGAATATTAACTTGCTCTTATGAAGAGTTAAGACCTATAACAGCATGCGTTCATGGGTTCTCTCTTTTTTCATCAATCAGTTAGAGAACAACCTTTCAACATTTCAAAACTTTTTAAGCATATTTCATACAAAATTTTAAAAATATTCTGAAGCACAGTATAAAAAAACTTAAAAGAACAATTCAAATTGGAGAACACTTTCGGATACCCCTGCTGAACAATAGAGCATAAACCAGCATGAATTCCATGAAATATTGTAGTCATGTGATAGCATGCACTTTTTTTCAACAATTGCTGAAAGATAATTAATTCAACCAAATTCGAGAGCCAAGTGCCTAACTAAAAGTCACAAAACATTAAGCCACCATTATGGAAGGAGACTGGAAAGAGAGTGGACAAAGATCACAACAGAGAAATGTGAGAATCATCAAGATTACGTAACCCCGGTTCCATTACAAGGGAACTCCACGCTGCGTTGAATGAAGCTATGGGGTCACGTCCCGCAGTACCCGGTGTTACATTCGCCACCACCAGTGGAGGGGTGCCTAATACTGTCCAGTTAGTAACCAACCTCAGCTCTTTTGGGCTTTTTTTTTTCTGCGAATGCCAAAAAGTCCAGAGGGCAAGAGAGGGACATCGAGGATGGTCGTGTCACACTGTTAGATGACAAATTGAGCAGGCTGCCTGCTTGGTGGCCCGGAGGGCTAGATTTGTCGCTAAATGCAGCTCTGCTTCAATGGAATAATGGCAGCCTTTAATGATGAGGAGGCATCTTCCCATTCCCCTCTATGTTTGAATAACTCAAGGCTGTATTCATCACCCAAACAGAATATAGATTTCTCCAAGACCCTGCCATCTTAGTGTGCATATCCGAGAGAAAATGAAGGCTCACTGGATCTGGACACTCATGACCTCATAGGTATCGCTTAGCCAAACGGCCACCTGCAACCTCGTGGTTCAGGTTGCGCAAGTCATAAGGTCCATAAGCTCATCATACGAAGGGCTTTGCTGTGTGGAGCATTTCTGAAACACATCTAACTACCTTGAGGGCTGAACGTGGGTGCTAACCGCAAAATAAAGGGATGCGGTTAAAAATACACTCTTAGAAAAAAAGGGTTCTATATATGAAGAGTTCAGATGCAAAAGCCTCTAAGTGACATTTGAAATTTTCTTCTAGAATGATCATTTTTCTCAAGCTCGTATATTTAAGTTCAGTAATTTCACTTAAATGGCAATGAAGATTACCTATGAATTGTCATTTAAGCGAAATTACTGAACTTAAATAAACGAGCTTGATAAAAATGATCATTCTAGAAGAAAATTTCAAATGGCACTTAGAGGCTTTTGCATCTGAACTCTTCATATGTATATAGGGTTCTTTACTCAACTGCAAAGGACCTTTTATGCAAAAAAAAAAATGATGATAATGACAAGAAAGAACACTTTTGGCACAAAGGTTCTTTTTAGGATATTATTCATTCATACATTATTCTGCAACATTTTGTAGTTGTAATTATTGTTTATTAAACTGTTGTAGTAACTTAATATCCCATTTTAATCATGCTGATTTTTGAAGGATAAAAACTGAAATGGCACTCTTCGTGCGATATTGATTAATTACATTTTTTAACCCCCATATCTGAATCATTCATGCATTGCATTTTAGGGGTTCCAAATACGTAGCACTTTAGAACCTTTTAAGGTTCTAGAACCTTTTAGTCTAAGAGTGTAAATAAATACAAAATATCTTAACAATAAAATAAATTAAATTAATGTTATTAATATGTTTATTCATTAAAATTAGTTTGAAACATGAAAGCAAGACGCCTAAGCCACAATTTTATTTAGGCTATTACTATAGTTCTTTACTTTAAGTGTTTTACATAGTCAATTCGCAACACTCTAATCACGTGATAATAAAAGTTATGTGGTAATAAAAAAATATTCTAATAATCATGGTTAAAATTGGTTGCATAAAACGACACTTTCTAAGAAAACTTGACTAACATTGAAGGTAAACGCATAAGGGGAAAAAATGCTACAAGAGTCAACAAACTGGCAACTTGAAGGACATGAACATGTACAATATAAAAGAACAGTGAAATGAGAGATAGAGAGGAAGAATCATAAAGAAAAGAGTGAATTTATTGTGTGCAGGAGAGTGTCTAAATACAACAAGCGGTTATCTCCACCTTCCAATTCCTTTCTGTTATCATCAATAATAAAAGAACCTATGCTTTTACAGCTATCTGATTCAGTATTCAATTGTGCTCACAATAGAACATGCCACTGTTCTTCTATCCCACCATGTGGAAGAG